GCCCAAAGATAGCTGCTGAGGACAGGACCTGTTTCATGGGTGTCCCTGAATGGAAGTCTAGTAGAGACACCATTGCATGAAACTGTGAAGTTGAAGTCTGGATTGCCTTGGAGAACCCAAGATGTTAGAGATGCCAGATTTGTGGGATATCTACTGAGGAGGGCTGATAACAGCGAGTGGAAACAGCCCAAGACAAGAAATGTGTTGAGGTCAATAAGGCTGAACAGAGTTGGAGATCTGAAAATCTTTTTGATAACAGATACGGAGTTGCAGAGTTTGGGGCTTGCCCTGCTGGTATTCAGTCTTGCTTTTGTCAAATATTCCCTCACTCTGCTCCCTTCCCTACATTTTGGAATGGTAATGTATACCTTGTGCCATTACTTGTTGGAAGTATGTGATCTACTTTTTGATTGTTACAGGGGGATTACAGTTAAGAGATTGCCATTCATCTCAGAAGAGACCTTGGGCTTTGAAAGAAGTTTGAGATTATTATAGACTATGGGGACTTTTGAAGTTTGACCCAATGCATTTAATTTTTTGCATTATGATGTGGCTATAAACATTTGGGGGCCAGGGAATAAGATGTGGTGGTTTGAAGAAAATGGCCCCCAAAGGGAGTGGCACTGTTAGGAGTTCTGGCCTTGTTGGAGGAAGTATGTCACAGTGGGAGTCTCTTTTGTTCAAGCTTTCCTGAATGTGACAGTCAGTAGACTTCCTGATAGCTGAAAGATGTAGGACTCTCAGTTATTTCTCCAGCACCACATCTGCTTGCATGCCGCCATGCAGTCAAAACCCTAAGACAAAGGATTTTAAGAAACAAAAGAGGATACCAAAGTTTGATGGGTAAGGAAGGGGACAGATTTGGAAACAGCTGGGGGTGGTTAGTATGATGAAAACATCTTCTATGAAACTTCACAGAACTAATAAAATAAAAATTAATGTGAATGAATAAGTAATAGATGTGATGGGAATAGTATCTCCAATCAATCGGTAAATAACTATCCAGGAAATGAAGTTGGTAACAACAGGATAAATGTCATTGCTCATACTATGTCCCAAAATTAAATACCTACTTAGGAGATGTAATACGTGAATCAGTGACAAAAGTTAGGAACTTTGATGTGTACGACTCAACTGAAGTACATGAAAGATATACAGAATGTCTGTTTGAATAGAAAAACTACTTTGTGGAACCAGCAGCAATAATGAGAGAAGACTCCGAGCCAAAAAGCAGTAGTCTTCCTCCATCACTACTCCCAGACACTCCCTCTCCCACAGGAAACTTCTTTACTATTTACTTACTTGCCCCACCAAGGTTTTCTTTTATGCCAATGTTGAAATTGAGTTTTATTTATCCACCAATTTGGACCATAAAATATATATTTAATATACACATTTTACAATTTGATCTTTTTTCCATAGTCTTTCCCAGAAATCTTTCTGAATCAGTCCATAGTTGTCCTTATTATTGTAAATATGCAATGTTATGCTAGATGGGCATGTTATTATTACTTTAGTAAGCAGTCTTGGCAGATTATCCTTTTTTGAAAAAACATTTTTCTCAATAAAATATTAGAAATGTAACTGGCAATTTACTCAAAATAATGTCTCAACATGGCTCTCAGAAGTATAGTATTCTCATTCAGGAGAGAGGCTTCTCAAAAACTGATGTAAAAATTCTGGAAGAAAAAAATCATAAAAGCATATCATAATTAAGCTACTAAAGACATTGTTGATAAGACATAGTACTTTTCCCTCCCCAAAATATCCTGAAAGAAAATTCACTGTGGTATGACAGGCAGTATTAACAGACTATCTTATATACAGTGAATATGAAATTATAATCATTATAATGATCAAATTACAGTAATTAGAACATAGAGGAGAGAATTTATCTACGCCAGTTCCACAAACTGAAATAGTTCAGGCAATAGTTATCTTCTCAGTCACCATTCCTGTTCTCCCCAAATAATGACAACTCTTTAGTATTCCACTTTCAATTTCATAGCACAGAACTTATTAAATGTTATTTTTATGTTTAAATGACAGTAGCAGAAATAGGATTGTGACAGTGTGCTATAATGGATTCATTGACTCATTCTGGCACACCCACCTATTCATTATCTCAATGCTGCTCTACCCTCAGAGTTAACCTGATAACTCATCTGAAGCTAAAAATCGATATTTCACATTCAAAATTTCCAATCCAAAGATTCTCTAAGACATAAAATAATCATACAGCATACATACTTACACACACACACACACGAAGTTCATCAATTAGGGTAGAGTAGCTGGCCAGCAAGCTCCATGGATCTTCTTCTCTCTGCAGCTCTGCTATTATAGACACACTCACTGTCACTTTTTTTTGTGGCTGCTGGGGCCTGAAATTAAATCCTCATACTTATATGGCTAGCACTTGATGGACTTAGCTATCTCCTCAACCCCAGGAAAAGCATCTCTTACTGTTTTTCCAAGTCAAAAGTCAATGACAGACCAACTGCTACAGTCTCTCTCTCTCTCTCTCTCTCTCTCTATATATATATATATATATATGTGTGTGTGTGTGTGTGTGTGTATGTACACACATATATGTATATATATTTGTGTGTGTGTGTGTTTTGTATATATGATTTTGGCTACACATGACTATAAACTCTGGTGATCACAAGACACTTTACCCACATGAAGAATCTTTGATGGCTTTTCCTGGTTAAAAAAAAAGGATTGTAGCAGTTTCATAAAAGATGAACATGCATGAATACATGTACATACACAAAGAGAAAGAGACACAGAGGGAGTGAGTCATTTCTCTGTAAATGAAAGAGATCTGCTGTTAGGAGCCTTGCTTCCCTTTTCCTAGCCACCCACAGTCACTGCACCATGTTGTAGCGCATCTCACACAGCTGTGTGTGATTTTCAGCAGTTATGGCTCATCCTTCAATCTTCTGTCTTGGTGAGTCAGTTCTAACCACTCCTCATCCCTCAAAGCATGAGACAGGGCAGCCTGCTTTAAACTTTCACTTAACCTATATTAATACTATTTTGAGCATTTCTGGCTTCAGATGTTGATAAGTCAAATTAGTAAGGTCTGTCACAGATTTAGGAAGTGTTTCCAATCTGTTTGGAAATAGTCACATGTGGACAGTGGCTACCAGTATATTTATGGCTCCCAAGAAGTAAGTTTACTAATCTCCATAGAAAGAACTTTAGGTATCTTCCCATTAGGCTTGGAGATATACTCCAAAGAAGTGGAAGAATTATAAGAGCCAAAATTGGTGACTTAAAAAAAAACAATTTTTTTAGACACAATGGGATAAATGCACACATACATGGATTTACAGCAATTGAGATAGCATGCACAAGTACCTACCTACACAAGCTCAAGTCAGAAAAAGAATCCCAACATGGAGAAAGGGAGGCGGATGTAAAGTCCCATCCCTAGCTGAGGAGCTATTGACATTTGATTGCTGCTAGAAGAGGGAAAAGTCCATTTTCTTCAGTAGTATGATGCCTGGTATATGGACTCCACTCCAGGGCAGGTCTCTCATCCAGAGTAGTCAGCCAACACAAACTGGACTGGGTGAGTTTCAAAATAGAGGGAGAGGGACAAGGAGAGAAAGAAGGACAGGGACAGAGAGAGGGACAGGGAGATAGACAGGGAGAAGGACAGGGAGAGGGAGAGGGACAGAGAGAGGGACAGGGACAGGGAGAGGCAAGGAGGAAAGGGACAAGTAGAGGAAGAGGAGGAAGAGGAGGAGGAGGAAAGAGAGTTATATGGATAAGAAGGTAGGGGAAGAAGTTCTGGGAAGAGCTGTTGGGGAGAGGGATGAATTTCTTCAAATTTTTATAAAATTCTCAATGAATTATTTAAAAACCTTTTTAAAAAAAGCTATTTGGAACGTAGTTGATGAATGCAACAATGTCTGCATAAATGTTAGCTACAGTATTTTGGGATCACACAGGTAATGCACTGGTGCTGGATTTCTGTGTGATTTCTCTATGACAAGAAGGAATGGCCTGAGAGATTAATACAAAAGGAATTCCAGGCATCCAAGGCAGAGTCCACAATACTGAAGTCAGGCTGATCTCAGCTAAAGTCCTAGCTGGGCTATCCGCTAGCTGTGATCTCAAACTGGTTATTCTGTCTCCCAATAGATTCCTCTTTTACAAAAATGAGTATGACGTTAACTTCTTAGGGAAGGTTTGTGTACAGATTTAATGAAGTAATTGCCAAGCACAAGGCTGGCATAAGGAGGTAATTAAAAATCTTTGTTTCTTCTTTTCTCCCCAACCTACCTCCACTAATTTCCCATGAAAACAGAAAACCATCAGTCACACCTACTCATGTCTAAACTATATTGCTTGCATTAATACACAATTGTAAGTCAAACTGATTAAATTTCTTCCTTCATCCTCATTCACATCTAAATCATTCTCAACAGTTTTACATGCACCTCTAATTATCATAATACAAGATATGTCTGAGGAAGCACATTCCACAACACTTTCCAGTTGGACAGTGTGTTTTATTCCATCTCCCATCATTGGTGTTTTCCATATTGGGAAACAGAAGTTCTTCTGTCTTCACTTAGTTGTATTATTTTTTCCTCCTCTCACTACATGGATACTGGAAAACTCAATTTTCATACGATGAAGTCTTTATTTTCTATAACAATTTTCAAATAAGAATGATAAGGCTCACCTCAATTTTTAGATATGAAAATGGGAGAATTTGACAGCCAACGGAGAAGTATCGAGTTTCAAAATGTGTCAATTGAGCACTCAACCTAGTTTCAGTGGGATTCAAAATGAAATTCTACCTATAGGAAGCAGTGTGCTTATGGATGATGATGTGTACAACAATTTCCAATCGCATGCAAGGGTTATCTATTAGTGAAAAGCAGTAAAAACAAATTGGCTTTCCTTGCTACTTCAAAGATGTGGCAAGATCAAGGAACCAATGAAAATTCTTGAGCAAGCAAGACATGTTACCAGAATGTTCTTTTCAGAAGGTGATCCCATAAGACCCTACAAGCTTAGGTCACCCAAACCTGATGTGCTTGGAGCTGTAGAAGAATCAACATAAAGTTGATTTTTAAATATTGAACTTGTAGTTTGAGCCAAAACCATATTTCCATATCCCTTAAAAAGCCAAATCCCAGCACATGTGACAGCTATAGGTGTGGTGAGTCTCAGGTTCTCTTTGGGCTCCTCTGACAATAGTCACCCTTCTCCCTTCCCTTCCTCCCCCCTCTTTCCATTCCCTTCATCTATCACAAGATTGTTTATTAAAAATTCCATTTGAATTATTGCTGCAGAGAATTTGAAAACAGTTGAAAAAAACCAGTGCCCCTGGCTGTTATTTGATAGATGCCTCCGGTTGGCTTGACACCAAGTTCACCGAAGTTAAGCAACACGCAGAAACACCGCCGTGTTAATTGGGGAGATGTTACTCTTGTGTGGGTGCTGGAATGCAAACAGTACCTGATGTCTGGAAAATGAAAATAAACAGAGGTAAATGACCAAGCTTATCTTGGCAGGACATGCAAAACACAGACGAAATGCCTAGCCAATCTGATAGCATTTGGAGAAGTCCTACACATTTATTCAGTGACCAGAAAGGAAGCCAGGGCTTGGCATATAGGAAGGAGTAGAAGAAAGAAAGAAAAAAAAATACATCTACTCTGTGGTGCAGACACTTTGCTCCACTGGTGCTTGCAGGACAGAGGTGACTAGTCTGCAGCCAGAAAGCTCCATAAAATGAAAGCAAATTCTTTGCTGGGGATACAGTGCATTCTGGTTGTAGCCTTGTTCCACTAGCATAAGCAGAAACTGCTCACAGGATTGGTAGGCAAAGTTGCTTTTTCATAGATTACTGAATATTATTATTTATTACTGTGGTGTATGTATGTGTCCATATATACTTGGTGTGTGTGTGTGTGTGTGTGTGTGTGTGTGTGTGTGTGTGTGTGTGTGGTGTGTTTGATTGTAGATCATGGCATGCTCATACAGGTCAGAGAATAACTTTTGGGCATTGATTCTTTTCTTCTATGGAGTCCAGGGATTGAACTCAGGTGATGAGACTTGGGCAGCAGGCACTTTTATTGCCCACTGAGCCCCCTCATTGCCCCAAAGAGGACATTTAAAAAGCCATCAGTTCAATGAATTTATCTTGAAACTTGATAATGTGAAAGCTCAGAGGAGGTTATTGACTTTCTTGCACCCACTTTGCTAGTTTTAGAGAAGAGCTAGACAGAGAACCCAGAAACTGTGACACCCAATTTAGGGTCCAATTCCTTTCAAGCAATTTCTACTTGAGATTCATGAACCAGAATCCCCTTCCCCTCCTTCACTGAAATGGAAACTTCAACACATTGCCCAAAATCCTCCAGTTACTTACCATTGCAAGTACTCTGTGTTTGCTCTCATCCTGTATGAAACCGGACTGTAGTGGAACATATGCAGACAACCTGTACTCTGCCGTCATCCTGGCTGGTCCTTCCCATCCTGGAGAAAGAAATTCTCCTAAAGTCATGTGCATCTTTGCTTCAGGATTTCTTGTGGGTATGTCATATTTTGACTTCCCTATTCACCTTTCACTGAGATTCAAATGCCATAGTAGTAGCAAGAAAAAACATTCTCATGGCTCTTCCTTAAGTAAGAATTTTAACTTTAGTCCTATTTTCAAAGTCCCCCTTTCTGGGGTATTTCTGGAATTTTTCCAATAGTGCATGCGTGGTGATGTATGGAGTTGATGTTCTCCACTCGTGCTGATCGCTGGGGCCGATGGGAGGGTTGTATTTCTGCCATTTGGTCTTTCTCTCTGTGTGTCTTTGAGTTCTAGCCTGCCCAGAAAACCAGTAGGATTTATCTACCAGGAATCTGAGGCCACTCAAGGCCTTAATCCTTTATAGCTGAGCTGCATGGAGACTCACGCTGCTGGATCCAACCAGCTGAGGCTAAGTTGCTACTAAAGCCAGCGCTCCCTTCACTCTCACAAATCTCTGCTCAAAACTCCAATACGGGAAGTCGTTCTCTTCCCGGAATATTCTCCTACAGCAAATATTTCATTGCAAGCTTTTCTGGTTGGCTCCTCACAGGTGGCAAACCAAGCAGCCACAGACACCAAGCTGCCCTCAGAATCTCTCAGGTGATTTTCCTGCATCACACTGCCTTCTTCCCATTAGGATGATTTATTTTCCAGATGTTTTTGTTTCCTCACACAACTAAGATTTTTGGCCATACTCTCCTGCAAGTCTTCAAGAGGCTATGGGATCTGCACAACGATCCACATGACAGAGAGCAGAGGATGGAAGTGCAGCCACATTGCCCTCATCCGACTGTACAACCATCATTTTGTCCAAGTAAGAGAGCATCACCCTATCTAATTTACACGTGAGCTCTGACCTTGCCTGAATTCTTAGACTTAACTTTTCAGCTTCAATGGTATGTGGAGATCAAGGTCCATAATAATAATATGTATATTTGTGTATATCTCAGCCCACAACTAATTATTGATCATAAAAACTACTTATAGGTACTAGATGAAATCTATGATAGGATGGATAAATCATTTCTAGAAAGAATCTGGCCGTTTCTAATAGTCTTACCCTAGGATGACAGAAGTAAAGGATTTCTTAAAGTGCCAAATGTTGACTCTTTGTCAGTCTAGAATCAAGTTAGATTAATCTCTTTGACATTTCTTTCCTGTTTGTCTAATGAAGTCTTGAGACAAGGCTGAACTCATGACCATAACTGAAATAATTTAATCCCAGGACCCTAATTTTGTGGACATTGAAACATGTCCCATTCCCTTTCAACTTATAATAATATCATAAATTACAGAATTCGATGAGTCATTTATGTGTGATGATTGTCATCTTTTCTTTGAAGACATCGAAATGCAAAGTATTCTGATGACCATTGGCTTCCCCAACAAAGAGCCAGCATTTCCGAATAACAAGTGGCTTTGCCTGCCTTTTCCTGTGGCCCTGATCTGTGGAACTAGGCTAGCTAACTAATGAGTTTGCACAATACTTTCTTCATTGTTGGATTCTAACTGATCTGCTTCTAACATCTTCCTGTGGGCAACATTACGCTTTACTTCCCTAAAGTTGTTCAGTTTGTCAATAAAGCTCATGGATTCATCACTCACCCTTCACAAAAATCTTGGAACCCACATACAAAGATTAAACTCTGCCTCACAAAAAGTCAGACATTCCGCCAAGGAGCTGAAGTGGTTCCCACCCTTGACACTCACCACACCCTGTCAGCCAACAATAAATCCCCTCCTGACATAAAAGTCCCTCTCCCCCACTCACCCCAGAATAAATCCTCTGTTGGCAGCAAGCCAGACTGAACAGATGTGTCTGCCTCCACTTCCTGGGGTGGAGTCAGGCTGGTCCAGCTTTGATCAACCAAAAGGAGGAATTCCCAGTGTCAAGAGCCCTCTGCAGAGAATGCCCCCAGGGCCTGCTCCCAGAGGGAAAGACACCAAAGACAAGAAAATGCGGTGAGGAGCATCCTAACTGGGAGAGTAGCAGAAATGATTCATGATCCCAGAGAAGCTGCATCTCATTCAGCCGCCTCATTTCTTACAAAGTTGTGCAAATTTGCATAAACTCACCTTTCATGGGGAGAGTCTTCCTCTGAAAAAAACAAAAGTGATCTTGAGTGTAGTGCTTCCATTTGTCATTCTTACCAGAAAACAGGACACCCTGCAAAGAATATTAATCTTAAGGAATTCAAGTGTTAGTGCTTTGGGTGGGACACTTTAATCATGACTCCTTCAGAAGCATCACGCTGGCTTACACAAGGCATTGCGATTGGCCCGGCCCCTTCCCCTGGATTTCTGGACAAGTCATTGAACTTGGGCATATCTGAGGGGCTAGTTTAGATTTGGTTTACAAATCTTAAGAAATGTAAAACATCATGGATGCTTCACCTGCTAAACTTGAAGGCCAATACCTTGAAGAAGCAAACAAAGCATGATTCTCAGTTACTGAGCTTTATGATCCCTTCCCCTGTGGAAACCCATCCATGGGTAAACTCCAAGATTTAATCCTTGTAGGAACCCACAGGACATTGTATTTTGTAGATTTTGATAATCAGAACTATGTTCTACAATAGTAAGTAATGTCAGATTCAGTATCAAGGTCTATATTCCTTTTGACCTTCACAGCCCCATGCAAGCTGATTATGAAGAGGAGCAAAGGGAAGAGGTAATTCTACTCCAAGAAGGAAATGGTTGGTTGATCCCCTGCAGTGGCTCTGCCAGCAGGCTCTGAGATTCCTTACTAGATTTTCTGTGTGTGGTCAGCATGAGGAAGACAAGAAGTAGGAAGTATGGCTTTTGGGTGGCTAGTGTATGTCCCTCTTGGTCACACTCATCTGGTCTGCGCAGCTGGAAGAGAGGCTGAAAAATAGAGTTAAGTTTCTGTGCCCAGCAAAAGCATTGGTAGGGAAGATGATTACAGATACAAACAGGAGAAAGAGAATAAAGAAATGTAGCACACTGGATTGAATTTGAATGCAGCACTATGAACTTGGACGTGCAGATACAGATGGACTAGACATAGACAGATACAGACATGCCTTAGCTTCTAAATATTACTCTCTACCCAAATGAATCAAGGTTCTTCAGGAAGCGTTAATGTCCAGAACTGGAACAGAAAAATACAGGACAAGCCTGGAACAAGCTCTGCTGTGTGTGTCAGAGAAAAGGAAATAATAGGAATATATTAAAAGAACACGGGAACCAAATTAGCAGATAGAAATCATCTGAAAGAGGTCTACATACTGAAGATTTTGGGTATCAAAATGAATGATGTTGTCAACATATTAGTCCACACAAATTTATTAGAGGAATGAATAAATCAATGGGGAAGAAAACAAAAGTTGTTCTTGGAGTAAAAAGCCAGTTAATATCAATAAATGCAAAAAAAAAAGATGGAAATTGTGATCAGTCTCTCAGTGAATCACAGAAGTGAATGATTCAGACAAGAACCTTCAGAGTAGGTCAATGCTGGTTGAACATTTGATCAGAAATGGCAATCCAGGTGTACTCACACAGAATCTCCCTAGAATATGTTATTACTAAACTAGAAAGAACAAAAGTTGCATGCCAGCTGGAAGAAGCTGTCAGTCAGCAGCAGAATCAAATGCTTACAATTAAGACCCTTAGCAACGAGGTCGATTGGCCTGGTACACTTCCTTCTTGGATTCATGGAGAGAGAACACAACATTGCCATTGTTTTTTTTCAAAGAACACAAGGTCTAGTTCTGACCAAGAAGAAATAGCTGATCACTCCAGATTCAGAATCAAGATACAATAGATGAACTGTATCCTTTCACCTATCAAAGATAAAAAAAACAACATACAAACAAAATAGCAAAGCCTCAGGAATTCTTCCAGGTGGAAGTGGCCTGAAGATTCATGACAGCCAAATGCTTATGTGTGTCTAGATAGGATCTTTACTCTTAGGAAGGAGCGATTTTGGAGCATCACTAAAATTTGAATGAGAATAGGTAGATGATAGTGCTTTATCAGTGTGGACTTCCTGCTAGCTGTTAAGAAAAATATTCTTGCTTAGGAAATGAATTCTAGAATGCTCCTGAGTTATGAGTCACCATTGTACAGTCTGTTTTTCTTTTCTTTTTTTTTTTTTTTTTTTTGGTTTTTCGAGACAGGGTTTCTCTGCGTAGCTTTGCGCCTTTCCTGGAGCTTACTTGGTAGCCCAGGCTGGCCTC